TGTGTTTACTTGACGTCTCTGTCACCGTAAGAGGGGGAATTGAGGAATAATAAATCAAGACTTTCCAAAATATGATAAGATGAAAGAGGCAACAAAACATGTGGGTCAGTTCTAGAGTAGAGATGATAGAAAGAGTATTCCAGAAATCACTTGTAATTAAATCTTGTCAAAGGGAGATTGAAAGAAATTCAGGCTCATCTGAGTTTCAACTGACAATAGACATAAGGAGTGTACAGTGTGGGGCCCTCTTAGATGTGTCCCACACCTCTCCTTCCAAATTCCCAAATCCTTTGGGGCTGTTTGGAAGGATGGATGATTTTAAGGGATTATGCAAACTGAATGCCATTATGTTTAATTATGATATATATATTTTATATAGGCACTTGGTGTTTCAAAATACAAGAAAATTACACACTTCCAAAAGAGAAGATGGATGGTGTAAAAGAAAGAACATTGAACTGGGCACCGTTAGCTGCCATCAAGTGACTTCATGACTTTACTTTAGTAATTATGTCTGAGTTTTCTTTTCAAATTAACATATGGAGGTCTGGGAGGTTAGGGGAGGGAATAGGTGGGTGGGCTAGATTGCTGTGGTTCCTTCCATTGCTAAGATACTATGGTTCCTTCTGGAACTTCTTTGAAGCTGGATCTATTGTTCTTTTGTTGTGATGAGGATGGAGTGGTGCTATTTTCCTTTAGCGAAGTACATTAGGGTCAGAGAGCCAGCTGATTTTATTGTCACGTCTCACTAGACCTCTGAGGATGGCCTTTGAGTGACTAATAGGGGTATCTAGTTCTCTCCCCCCATTCTTCAGATTGTCACTTAGCTTTGAGGCTGCTTTATTGAAATTTTGTTTCTAAATTCCTTGTGAGAAAAGTTAACTAGGAGATAAAATAATGAAATTTTGTAGCACAGAAAGAGTTTACTAAGGGTAATTCAGGGCTTAATATCTAGTTCAATGAGTGATTCTCAAAAGTGTTGCCCCCGGACAGCAGTATCAGCATCATGTGGGACTTTATTGGGGCCAAATTCTCAGGCTGCACCCCAGACCCACTGTACCAGAAACTCTAAATGGGCCCCAGCAATCTGTGTTTTCAGAAGCCCAGCAGAGGGTTCTGCTACACATTACCATTTGAAAGTCACTGCCCAAATGTCGAATGTCGATACAGCTAACAGGTGGGAAGTTGTCATTGGGTTGCTTGGAAGCAGGAAAGGGAAGATCTTCCTACAGTGGAACTGGGGGAATTAAGGTCGGTAGAGTAGCTCAGGTAGAGGCCATGAAGCAGGAAGATCTCCCCACTTGAAGTACAAGGTTTTGCATTTTATTCCTGGGCAGGGAGCGCCAGTGCCTGACGATCAGTGTGGTCAGGGTTCAGGCTGAGACCCAGACTCATTAAGAGCCCAGATTCTCCCTGTTCCCAGCTCCTTTCTGCCCAAGAAGAAGCATGATTGTTGGAACTGTGAAAAGAGCATGGATTCAAGTCCCATTTCTGGCAGGCCCCTATCTAGTTGTGAGAGCTTTGGAAAATTATTTCATTCCTCTGAGCTTCAGTTTCTTTATCTTTGGACCGAATACCTCTGGCAAAGCACCGTGCAATTTTATGTGACTCACATATAGTAGCTACTCAATAAATACTAGTTCCCTTGCTCCCTGGGTACATAAGGTTAATCCTCAATGGGTACATAATGGGACTGGCTACAGTCATTCTGGCTGACTGATGTCTATACTGGGCTAGTTGTATTTTCACATATCAGCCTTGCTTGTAGGAATGTAAGCACATTTTTCTTATAGGATGGATGTGGATAGCCTTACAAGCCTAAACGTGGAATAAGCTTAAGTGTATTTAAACAGATGAAAAACAATGTTAATATTTAAATTATTGACAGAATAAGACATTGCCAAGTTTTCATTTTGAAATTGATCAAATTTAAATTTTGGAAATATGACATTTCATAGTGGTAACCTCTAGTTTTGTTTTTGTTTTTTTGATTTTGCCACAGGAACCCTCGTCAGGAAGTTAAATGAACTGCCACTGACTAGGGTGCCATGATGCATTCTAAGAAGACTGACTGGCCATGACTGTGACTGGGCCTGGGGGCACTTCCTAAGCAGCTGTTGTGCCCAGAATTGAACCACAGTTCCAACTAGGTACTAGCGGAGTGCTGTTCCACAGCTCTCTGAGAGCTAGGTGCCATGTGGTTACTCTAACGTGCCCTGGAAGAGGGCCACTAGATGTGCCTTGGGGTGCCCTTTGAGGTCCTGGAATCTAGTCTCCATAAAATTTTTCTTCAGCAGGATATTGGTATATTAATAATTTGCATTTGCCACATTTACAAGTTTCTCAAATAAAAATCCACTGCATAAAATTCTTTGATTTTCATTCTTAGCTTTAAAAGTGAGTTTTAAAAGAATGCTATTACTATGCCCATCAAAATGTCATTTAAAAACTCTTGTACCCTTGTGTGTTGCCTGCAGATTATCTACTTTGAAATTTCTTCACCAGATATGGGGAAATAGCTAAAGCAGTCAGCTGTGTTTTATGTAGCCTAGGTGCAGTCACACAAATATCAGTGTTCTGTCAGTTAAACAAAACTGTGAAAAACAGAACATCAGAGAAACAAATTACCTATGAACCATTTCCTCTGGGGCAGCACCAGGTCTTATCCTTCCCTTAAATTTCTCTAAATATGGGCCTGTTTGATTGAAGGCACTCATTTTGGGGAATGTAGCTCATCCACTAGTGGAAACTGTATGGCATATCTAATTTGTGTTTCCTTCATGATCATATAGCCTGTTTTTCAAACTTAGCTACCACTATTTACTCAATTTGATTTTACATTTCTTTCAGACATGTATATTTAACATTCAAAATATTGCATTCCAAATTCCATTAGCCAACAGTTCTTAAATGCCTATTTCAAAAGACATAGAAGGTGGAGTCTCTTCTTTAAAAAAATCATACGTGCTTTTAAAGAAGGCAGGGCACAGCCGGATGAAAAGAAAATGAAAAAATTTTTGAAGCAGTTAAGTTGGCAGGTGCTAAAGAATAATTTGCAAAAATGAACAATGTTAAATGGGGAACTAACTAGAAAAACGAAAAGAACCAGGCAGGGTACTCAGAAAAGGCTTCTGGGAGGCAGTGAAACTTATTTTGGGTTTTGACAAAGACAATTTTGGATTAGAGAAAAGTTGTGAGGGTATATGTTAGACAAAGGGGATAACTGACCTTTGTGTAGGGGAAGGAAAACAGATTTTATTGCAGACACTTGGAGAACCATGAAAATAATTGGCTCATTTCTTCTTACGCTGTTAAGATTTAAGCAGGAAAATGTATTTAGCAAACTATTATATTTATCCCTCACTTCTACTTTCTAATTTATTGAAAATCCCACTACCTTTCCTTTATACAGAATATTCTCAAATGCTCTAATAATATTGACTATGTTAAAATTTTGTTTTTCCCTGTAAATTTTACTTGAATCATTTTTCATCTAATTCATTTATGTAATTTTTGACCTTTATAAAAAAAATGGCAGTAAATAATTGTAGCCCAGGCCAAGTTTGTATACAAACTAAATGACTTCCTATGTACCATCTGTTGTTTTTTGTCCTCCTAAGTGGAACAAACTTCCTTCTGAGCAATTTTACTACAGTTACAAATTGCTGTTTATGATAATTTTAGAGATAAAATTCCATAATCTCACTGACATTTAGTTAGCACTGACATTTTGTAAATGCCGTCTAGTCAATGCTGGGGAATGGAAACGGACATCTCTGTGTGCTCTAAAGCGGGGGCATCCTTTTCCTGCTTATTATTGACTGAGAAATGGGTGGATTAAAGCAGCAAAGATGCAGAGCAAAGGTGACTTCCTGTTTTGTTTTAGGGTTTGTTTCCTTCTCTTCTCAATGAAGGCTGTGTTTTCTAACATTCTGCAATCCTTTTGCTCAGTGGTTTCCCTTTGAAAGGGCATGGTGGGAGGGCCTCTGAAGGTCATTCCATTTACAATATGCCCTGGAAAGGGGGGCTGACGGGGGAGAGGCAGCTCATTAGCGGCAGGAGCCGAGCAGAAGGAGGTCTGTTTTCTATTTTCTTCCCTAGATTGAATTCATTTGGATGTAAAGGGTTTTATTGTCATCATCATCATCATCATCATTGTGGTGTAATTTTCCTACACCACCATATTTGTCTGAAGTGTTCGGTGACATTGTTGGCGAGAAGGGTTAAACAATAAGTGCCATTTTTATTTTAATGAGTAAAATCAGAAAAACAACGTCCAAGTACGTTAAAGCAGTTAGTTTTCACGCTTAGGCTTAAAAAGCAGAACTCAAAAGTTCTAAGTCTGCAGGGCAAAGAAAAAAAAATTAAAAGAAAAAAAATATTCTTGCTTTTGGTGGTCTCTTTGTAATTACGTACATTTTTTTCATTTTTAATGAAAGGCAATTTCCCCCTACCTAGTTTTTCAAAATGCAGACCTCTGTAGTCAGGAGCTCTGGGTTAAGGCTCCACCATTGCCACAAGGGTCCATGTTTTCTGCGACTTGGACGTATAAAGTGACTGCTTAAGTCTGACTTTTTGCAGAGCTGGTGATCTCAGAGGTAAAGCTGTGGTTTGCTCACAGGAAATATCTCTAAGGGAAGAGGGGCTTGGGTGGGCTCCCAAGTGGGTAACTGGGGGCGCTCCTCAGTGGGAGATGGGGGTGGGCTCTTCACTGAGGGGCTGGGGGCTCTTTTTTGGAGCCAGGGTGGCTCCCCACTGTGCGGCTGGGGAAGAGCTGCTTGGTCTCTCAAGTCAGCGTTGTCTTGGGTTATCGCGTCCTCACTGCTTTTCGAAGCTTTCCTTCCCTCCGCCTCCAGCCCACCGACCTTCTCTCCCCAGATTCCCCACTTCCTGGGAAGACCGGCCGGCTTTGGAGGGCTGGGTCTTCACCGGGGGGAGGAGCTGCCTATCCCGCGGGGAGGTAGGAAAGTGGAGAGCGGCGGGTCCGAGGCGCAGACCTCCCGTCGAGGTTCCTCCTGCCGTCCCTCCTGCCAGCGGCGGTCGCTACAGCAGCAGCAGCTCACAGCAAAACTTGAATCTTTTGGCTCAGCCTACAAGACTTGCAAACTCTTACTGCACCCCCCCCCATTAGGAGACTTTTCCCTCTGGTTGCCCTTCCTTCCTCTCACCCCATCCTCCCTCCGCCCCCATCCTCCCCACTTTGGAAAATTTAAAGGCTTCTTTTAAGCACCTTTTTGTAATCCAAGGGACGTGACACCCCAGAGCTCCAACTACCTCAGCTGAATTCTACTTTTGTTTTTATTCGTCCCTTGCTTCCTCTTGTTTTCCTCTCATCTGATTCATCTGCGAAGTCTGATGCTTCTGCCAGAGGGGGCGAGGAATAAATAGATGCTGCTGCCCCAGAAGGCTTAGACGTCGGGAAAGGGCGGCCAGAGCGGCAGTGGCTGCAGGGGCGGCGGCGGCTGGGGCTCGGCGGAGCTCGTGGGACCCCATTGGGGGAATTTGATCCAAGGAAGCTGTGAGATTGCCGGGGGAGGAGAAGCTCCCAGATCATTGTATCCACTTCCAGTGGGGAGGAGGAGACCGCGGAGCGGGCCTCTCGGCGTCCTCGCCACCGTTGCCCCTGCCCCATCCTGCTGGGATCATGGTGTGCGGCAGCCCCGGAGGGATGCTGTTGCTGCGGGCCGGGCTGCTCGCCTTGGCGGCGCTCTGCCTGCTCCGCGTGCCCGGAGCCCGGGCTGCAGCCTGTGAGCCCGTCCGCATCCCCCTGTGCAAGTCCCTGCCCTGGAACATGACCAAGATGCCCAACCACCTGCACCACAGCACCCAGGCCAACGCCATCCTGGCCATCGAGCAGTTCGAAGGTCTGCTGGGTACCCACTGCAGCCCGGACCTGCTCTTCTTCCTCTGTGCCATGTACGCGCCCATCTGCACCATTGACTTCCAGCACGAGCCCATCAAGCCCTGCAAGTCTGTGTGCGAGCGGGCCCGGCAGGGCTGTGAGCCCATCCTCATCAAGTACCGCCACTCGTGGCCGGAGAGCCTGGCCTGCGACGAGCTGCCGGTTTACGACCGCGGCGTGTGCATCTCTCCCGAGGCGATTGTCACTGCGGACGGAGCGGGTGAGTCCAGCCACTGCCGAGCCTCTCCCCCTGCTCTCCAGTCCGCTCACTTTCGGGAGTCCGTGTTACTCGCCTTGACTCTCTAATTCTGTCTTTTCTCTTCGGATCACTTCTCTTAGTCTCTCTCTTAATCACTCTCCCATCGAGCACTATTCTTTTTTCTTTCACCTCATCAGCTTTCCAAACTGATGCAGCTCTATTCCAATAGGTGAGCTGTTTTTCTAAAACACCATTCATTCCACTCCCATAACACTTCTACGCAACGCTGACCCTTCACGTTCTGCTCTCGGCCATGTCCAAGTAACCACATCTTGTATGGTGATGCTCTTTTCTTACTTCATTTGTTTACAACTACTGAGCTTTCTTGCCTGATTCTCTTGCTTTCTCCATCATCAGTTTTCTATAGCTGTGGTGTTCTAGCTGCTTGTCAAGTCTGTATGGTGAAAACACAGAACTGAAGTACCATTTTCCTCTAATCATTAAAAACGCCAAGATAATTCCAGTAACCTTACTCCGACCCACAGATGTTAGTGGTATGTGTTTGCTCAAAATCCAATTTGAGCAATTACGTTCACCTTAAATTTCCCCCTCCTTTCAATGAGATAAATTGTTCTTCCATTCCAGACTGAAACAGCTGTGAAACATTGCTATGCACTGCTAATTAGCTCCTGTGACTTGCTCCAGCCACAGAGCTGGTGGAGTGAAACTGCTGGGCTCTCTACACATTCCCACATGCCTTCAAGTCATTTTGTAAATGACATATGGATGAAAGGAGTTATATTTAAGACGTGTTATCATCACACACTCATGTAATGTTATTTTTAATCTCATCTCTTATCCTACTCTTCAGCGTTGCAAATAATTTGTCTTTAGTACTTTATTTCATGCTCTTTCTTTGTGTACATCAACCACACATTCATTTCAATCTTGACCTACTGTAAAACTTTATTGCAGTTCTACATTTAATGGAATCAACCACAAGTTGTTTTCTTGCTAGTGTTTGGTCTAATTATGACAGTAATTTAACTTAAGACCCTAACTAAACCTAGTTCATTAATGGTCCATTTAATTCTAACTCAGTCCCACTCCTACCAATTAACCCACACTCAAATTTCACCTTTCATATACTTTAAAAATAAACCCAGTCTTTTATGATCAGTCATCTTTCATACCCTTCCCAAATCAGCTCTGTTCTTAAATGTGAGAACTTGATGGCCTCCTTCTCTGTTCATTTCTTTGGGTATCAACTTTTTCTTCTGCCTCTCAGTTTGCTCAGCCAAAGCTCGTGTCTTTAATCCATTTCTAGGTAATGGTTCTTGGTTGTCAGGGAACTGATTTGAAAAAAACTGCTTTTTTTGCACACTGATCTGCTTAACATAAAGTGAGGAGGAAGGCGGGGTG